GGAGGTAAAACTCCCGAAAATGTATCCAGCAGACGTGTTCATCGTAATCAATGTTGGCACATTAGACACCCCATCAGAATTAAAGTCCTGTTGGCCTTTTCACCACCCTCGGATCGATAATCCCACGGTTGAGTTCGGACACCCTCGTTTTAAAGGCTCAAAGATGCTTGAAACACTTCCTTTTTATGTGAAGGAATGATAACCCGCTCCCAAAGTATTGGATCTTTCCCTTATATTCTACTATAGGATGATCGTGATTGAGTGAGTCAGCGATTGACTTTAATTCTAACCGTGTTTTAGATGAGATTGAAAGTTCGAACTTGGTAGGTCAACACGAATAACTCGGATGATGCGGATGTGTTTGGGAGAGACGTATCTCCATGAATTTCTTTGCTCCATTGAAACGGAGAGACACAGAAGCTGAAACTTGGTGCATCGGTACCTATTGAGGTGCAGATAACTGGGGGAAACTACTTTTAGGATTCTTTCCCAGGGCATCATTTTTGGGCTGGAACTTTTCCCCCCCAAAATTATTCCGTTCCAGGGAATCATGGAGACGAGACGCTGCAACCTTACTAATTAGGTACATGCTGGTATGCAGTAATAAAGGGAAATCCTGCTTCTGGGAGATATCTTCTGGGGGAACATAGTAATATTTTCAAACTTGTTTTGCTACATTGAATCGGGCGGTGAAGGATATCGAATCCTGGAATTTTGTGCTTGGGTTGCTCTGCAGTTGCTAATTTATGGAAAAATCCTACTCTTGCAGGTAATCCCTTGGGACACTATTCGTTAGGGCCATGATGTCGGATATTATTTTGAAGCAGAAGGGATTGGCACAGTTTATTATATTCAGTAAGCAAGTATTTATTGCATGCTTAATTCAGAAAACATCCAACTTCAGGGACACATCCCCGCTTCCAATTTGGAGGCACAACTCCCGAAAATGTATCCAGCAGACGTGTTCATCGTAAGCAACGTTGGCACATTCGACACCCCACCAGTATTAAAGTCCTGTTGGCCTTTTCACCACCCTCGGATCGATAATCTCTTGCATTCCAACCTCCTACCACTTCTTTGAAGGCACGCCACACACTTGGTTGTGTCAATAAATATGTGAAGCTGTATTTTTTTCAGATGTGCTCGACGGTGTCCGAAGTTACATGTTCTATTATGAAAGCTCCGACAGAGCTCAAAAATACATGTTCTCTGAAAAGCATGACTCAACTGAGCTTTTGTCGACACATAACTTCTTTATCTCAAGAGGTCGTCATATTTCCGCAGATATGACAAACATGAATGGATGTCCGAACTTAAGTTTCTCAAACATTTCTTAACGGGAGTTAAGGAACACTGAAAGTAAGACAATCTGATCAATGCACGTGCATTCTGCATAACAGGTCTCAATGTCCTCCTCGTTTCCTGGGAAGTAAGAATTGAGCACAGAAAACACAAGAAGTCACGGGTGAACAGTTTTAATAGTAAGGTTCTCTCCTTACGGTTTCTTGAAGAATTCCTCCAGTTCGCGATATAGCATTAGCCTAAGCCCAATATACTGGAACAGTGAAAAGTCATCATGACCACCGCGTAACAATGTTTGTAGCAGTGTCCGTACTTAGGAACCGTCCGAACTTAGGCGGCTTTACCCCATTTACCTATTGACCATGGATGGAGTCTTGAAAACGGTTTCTGCAGGGCAAATACCGAGGAAGGACGAAAATGCATCTCGTTTTCTCCAAAAAGAGGTACATAAGATAGCAGTGTTTTGCCCAGAACTAATCAGATTCCAGGTGATGTGCTCACGTGCTACTCAAAAACCACATTTTCCGGGAGTGTATAATAAACTCTCGAAAAATCCAGTATTACCAGACGCCCTTTATGTATAATACAAAATTTTGAAGCATTTAAAGTTTTGAAGTTCAGTGAAATGGGAAAAAATCCAGAGCCATGCAAATATTTCTACCCACGAGCACGAAAACGTGAATATAAGAAACATATGTTAGAGTTTTGGCCTATGTCATGGCCAATTTTCTGATCGATTGCGACATGTCCCTGAGGTTATAATTTTTTGAGAAAATGTATCATCACCTAGATTCCAGGTTTCCTAGTGGGTGTTCGTGAAATGCAGCAGTCGCGGTTCGTCAGCGAAGAATAAGGGCCGGCCTCCTTCTTCTTCGCTGACGAACCTATTGGCGCACATGACGAGCCGCCAACGCGCCTTTCCCGTTGATACGCCTTATCAGTAGTGGGGGGAGATAAAGTTATGAACTTGAGATCTGTGTGTGATAGTGTTCGCAATGTTCAAAGCATATAGCGAGTACGCCGGATTCCATGTTGCATCCAGAATTTTTGTGAAGCAGCCATTTGACTGACATTTTGTTACTGCAATTTCTAGTGACCGGACTATTCCAACGCTTACTCCATTAGGATTTATTTGTAGGGTGAGAGTTGCATGTATTTTCTCCTGACATTATCTTTATTACAGTGATCGCATTTAACCCCAACCTCTTGCAGCCAGTTAAAAAAATTGTCCTTAACCGAAATAATGAAAATCTGCAACTACCTGTTCATTGACTGGATTAGGTATGTCAAACAGACGGAAGCGTTGCAAGTTCTAAGACCACGCTTCAAGCTGCAATGGATGGTCATAGGTAATTCAGATGCAACCTAACTTCCACACCAATTGATAATATAGGTCGGTGACCATTTCTTGAATTTTTAGAACCAATGCGCAAGATATCACTCAGACAAGGAACTTCTAGCAAGAAGGAGTGGCTGTAGCTTCCTAGCTGAGTCTCCAATTAGATGGATGCCAGGTAAAAAGCAATATCTGTACATCCTCTCTTTTAGCTAGTAAAAATGAAAAGCAGAGGTTAAGTGTCCATTCAAGGGCACGAGTCTGAATTAAAGAGCTGCTTATATTAGAGAAATCGATCAATACTGTCCAGTTTTGATCCATGTCAAAAAGTAATTTTTTTTTTATTCATCTGCAAATAAAATTTGTGGATGAAATGATGGAAACTAAGGGACGGTTGAGGCCTGAGAAAAGTTAGTAGAAGCAAGCATTGCATTACTATGAGGTCCAGAGCACTTCGCGAGTGTGACCTCTGCGTAGTATCAACTCGGTTAAGAATTCATATCAAATTTTCCCTGCAATCCATTGTTTTCATGGGTCCATGGTTTCATTTTCGCTTCAGTGTTTCTCAATGGTTTTGTGCGGGTTTTCTACTGCCAAATTTTCCATTTATTCTTTTGTCCACAGTCTGAACTCTTCCCACGGTCTCTTTTGAGGCAGAAGACAGCACATAACTTTTTCGTGTCAACCAAATGTGATTAACCGTTCTCACCCTACGATCATTCGTGAGAAGCTAGAAATTCCTAAGTTATCTGATAAGGTAAGAGAGACAGAAAGAAAGAGGATGACTTCGATATCAGTACTTCACGATTGAATGAATGGAATAGCCCAACAGCTTCATGCTGAGAAACTGTCGTCCACGCACGTCACGAAGTTTCCACATGCATTTCCCTTGGCAGGCGCCTCGAAGAAAACCGTCCCGCCAATAACACGGAAGAGAAAAACGAAATCTTGATGGTGTCGCCGAAGTCGCCTACTCGGGATCACAGGAGGAAGTCGTCGCTGTTCGGGAGGCTCCGGAAGTCCATGTGGAGAAGCAATTGGGAGCCGGCACAGGAGGTTCTCGACAGCCACGATCACCCGCAGCTCGAACAGCAGTGAGAGGATGGCTTCTTTTTTTCTAAGGGAAAAAGACATCATCGCGTCCTCCTTGATGGAGACGTCCGTAAAGAAAATATGAGGTCATTCGGGGTATATGTGATCGAAAAAATATTAGCTTCATTTTCGAATCAATGGCAAAAATGTATATATGGCAGATATAATGTAGTACTTTTGTCCATATCAGCGTTTCAGGGTACTTACACTGGATGCATCTTTCAATTGTAGCAGTGGAATTTACTTGGATATGCCAGGCAAGGTTAGCAACACAGACTTTTTAATTCATATTCTCTTGATTGCTTATCGTGCTTGCAAATTGTAATAAAATAGTGCTTAGACCTTGTGATACTGATGAAGCAGCCGTCACATGTTAGACAAGTTAAACGGCATTTCTGTGCTGAAATAACTTTTTTCTGATGATGTGCCCCTACTTGCTCTATCCCTCTCTCTCTCTCCATTGAAAAAATATGGAAGAAATATACCATTCAAATGAACAAAGCAGACTTCGGCTTGGGGACTTGGCTGATAATGGAAGCAAACATTGTATTTATTTGCTGCTCGTCTACAAACCTATCTTTCCCATATACTAGTATGTGTACGGCTAGAATTTTGCGCATTTTCTCCTGCAATCAGATTTCATAAAGTGATTACATTTAACCTCATCCTCTTGCAGCCATTTGAGACATTTTCATTAATCGGAATTATGAAAATCTCCAACTACCTGTTCATTGACTTGATTAAGTATGTCGAAATGACGGAAGCGTAGCAAGTTCCAAGACCATACTTCAAGCTACAATTGATGTTTAGAAAAAACTCAGATGTAGTCCAATTTCAAGACCTAGTGAGGATTGGTCAGATGCCATTCCATGAATTTTTAGAGCAAATGCCAATGAGTCAATCCGACGAAGTACTTCAAAGGAGGAGTGGCTTCAACTTCACGGACCTAGTTGAGTTTTTAAGTCTCTGAATGAAGCCCATGAATGAACAAGACGTGGATAAGAGAGCCAAATTAAGAATAATCACACTTACACTATAAGCTTGGCCGGTCTTCCTAGTCCCAAGCTTATGAATGGAACACAAATAGACACTTGCTGAAAAGAGGAGTCTTCTTGGTGGAATCTACTTTGCCATGACACGAAAAATTGAATTTTATTCTTCAGTACCAAATTTTTGCTTTTCTTATCCAGATTTGTCGTCCTAACTGCTATACAGGGTGTCCCGTAAGTCACTAGACCATTTCAAACAGCAATATTTTCCATACTACAAAATGCAGGTCACTGTTGTTAGTACTAATGGAAAGAACGATATTCATAAATTTTTCATGATAATGACTTTGAAACAGACTCAAACCGAAACAGCTTGAAATGCATATTAGAAGGATATACTTATTTAGGGAAATTTTAGGTACACTTTGTTGAATCCCTTTCTACAAAATTGTCCAACTTCATGCTTTTCTCTGCTTCAAATTTCAGACAGACTCGAGAAATGTAAAATAATATATACGAGGGTCATCGCAAAAGTTCGAGAAGAAATGTTCATATTTTCTTTGCATGTGATCCAGCAGTAACAGTCGCATCAAAGTGTTTATATTGATGTCTTTTGGTACTAACGTAGGAATAATCCTGTTCCTACTCCTTCCCATTGCAAAGATATCATGTTTTTATGCTGACCTACATTTTACCACTATGGAAGAAAATCATCCGCTCCAGCGAGGTTGGATTATGTTTCTGTGGAAGCAGAAAAAGTCACTGGTCGTGAGCTGCAAAAAGTTTACAGAGTTAGTTTACAGAGTAAAGTTTACAAACTTTCAGCAAAAGAGCCATAAATATATGGATGCATCGCTTTGAAGCAGAATGGGATAAAGTGGATGATTCGCCAAGGTCGACCTGACCTAGGCGCACGCTTGGAGCATGCTCCCACTGCCATCCAGTGGTTCAAGCAAACCCCAGCAAACTGGTTTGCTGAAGGACTCGAGAAGCTGATAGAACGGTGGCAGAAGTATGTGCAGCTAGGCGAAAAGTATATTAAGAAAGTTCACTTGGAAAAATGCTGCATTTGGTTTTTCAACTTGATGTAGAATAAAATGTTCTCGAGCTTTTGGGATGACCCACGTATTATTTCATTAAGTTTGATTTCACTGTCATGAGATTTCGCTGTTAATTCCTTCGCAATTAAATCTGGGTAACGAAAAAAATATGCAACCTGGATATAGATCTTTGCGAGTCCCCATCTAAGTTTAAAGGTAGTTTCAGTAGTTTTTTGGTGCCGAGCCTCATTTCAAATGCATTGAATGCATTGATGTTGGCGGAGGACATTTTCAGGCATTTGCAAAACTCATAAATCCCTCAATTTTTTAAATAGATAATTCTAAACAACTTTCTATCTTTGCGTTAATGTCATTTCATTTTTTTCATCAACTGTTTAGTAAATGTGATTTTTTGAAATGGTACAGTAACTTATGGGAAAACCTGTATACAGCTTATACTTGACCTTTCAGATGGTTTTGTGAAAATCACTCGAAACTTCCTGAAATACACTTCAGGAAAATTCCTGTGTTAGCAGGAATCCATTTTACCCTCCATTGTCTGTACAGGATGTCCCAAAAATGTTTGTGCATCCCTCATGTATCCTTGTATCCTTCGGCCAAGCTTAAGGCCAAGGAGGTCCTAGTCTTGTTGGCCTCGCGCGTTAAGCGTAGAAAGCAGAGGTTTGCGTCAGAGTGGGCCCAATATGAAATCCTCTATATTCGGTCAGTTCCGTGAAACCCTGTAGTAGCAAAGCAATTAATAAGACTCACAGTTAATATTACAAATATTAACAATAATTATTGTCCGTCTCAAGCAATCTAAGAAATGAACAACTAAAAGAAAAAGCGTAAACTTGCATTTTTTATACGCGATCTCTGTAATGCATTAACGAATTTTGAATTTGAAAACACTAGAAAAATTAACCGAATATAGGCAATTATTAGGGAGAGTAAGCGGCAAGCAAAAACAAAGGGCGAAAATTTTGTTTTCTTTCAATCTCTTAGATTAACTGTGATGGACAATAATGAGACAAAAGTAAATAATGTATTCCTAAGACAGGCTGATTACATGGCGTAATTAAAGGTTGCCCGTGGTCGGAAAATGATTGCTAGCTAATTCCAGTATTTCACAATTTCGTAGGGTGCCATCGCGTAATCTGAAGAACACCTGTGCCCAAATACATAAATTTAGGCAATGTTCTAACATTTTCCACCTCAAATTTCCAAACCAGCAATGTACTTCCTCCCTCTTTTGATCCAAGTAGTCAAGAGCACATGGAGGAAGGAAGCAAGGAACCTAGCCTTCCTCCTGTGCCAACACAGGAACAAGACTTTCCAAACCAAACTGCGAATGTATTTGTGGCATTGTATGACTATGAGGCACGCACTGATGAAGACCTTAGTTTCAAGAAAGGAGAGCACTTGGAGGTCATCATTGACACCCAGGGTGACTGGTGGTATGCTAAGAGCAAGGCCACCAAGAAACAAGGATTCCTTCCTTCCAACTATGTTGCCAAACTCAAGTCAAATGAAGCTGAACCGTAAGTTTGGGGCCTTTCAAGGAAAAGCTTGGAAAGGGTCCATTAAGACCTTCCAAAGTAGACCCTTGTCTTTTTTTGCCAGTAAATCCTTATATGAATATTTATTTTTCGTTTCCAGGTGGTACTTTGGAAATACCAAGCGAGCGGAAGCTGAGAAAAAGCTCCTCTTACCAGAGAATGACCATGGAGCCTTCCTCATACGTGATAGTGAAAGTAGACCCAATGACTACTCTTTATCTGGTATGTTTTATGTAGTAATACTATTTTACACCTTGAACCTTCCTGAATCTATGTATTGAGAGTCTTAAATATTACTTTACACTATACCTCTGCTTCAAAACAACAATGTTCTAACTTATGAGACTCCTTGTGGTTTCACATTATTAGAGGATTATTCATGTATCGATTTGTTGAATGTTGTGCCAAACTCAGGCTTATTTGAGCTCTGGCTCAGACTCATTTGGATAGAGTACATTTGGATAGTCCACTGTTTATCATTAATTGGTAATATCATTCATTAATTGGTTCTTACACCTTACACTTGGGAATAAATATTTTCTATAGCATGGCTCATTCTCATGATATATAACTATTAGTTGTATGGATGTGACAATTTGCTTCCAAAGTAGCAATTTTATCAAAAATTAATCCATTGGGCAGACCCTCATGGACACTTGGACATACAATGTATATCCTCCTCGGACATCCACTGGATGACTGATGTCTTGTCGAAAGATAATCCTTTGACATATTCATTGAATGGCCTATTGGATGTCCGGTTTTTTGGATCCATTGGATCCATTGGATTTTCCTATGGGAAAGCTATCGGATAACCATTGAGAGATGCAGCAATAGCAATTTCAAACCCCATCCGCGGGTAGGAAAGGAACTAAATTTGCAGTGGGAGAGGAATACTTACTGAGACTATTAAGATTACACCCACGCACGTTTCTGGGAAGAAATAGAAGAGAAGCGTTTAGATGGAAAGTAAGGTATTAGTGCGATGTTACTCCAATCTTCCCATCCTCACCTCTCGATCTCTCTCCCTCTCGAAGAGAGAGAGAGATCGAGTCTCTCGAGTCTCGAAGAAACTGTTTCCTGTCGCCAAAGGCGTCACGAACCACATGAGAATGGAAGAGACTTCCTTGGCAAAGAGAACCACAGTTTCCATGCAATGTGCAAGAACTGCCGGGAGTCTTCCTGAGCTATGTTATGTCTCTCACCAAATTAACTATTTGGAATGACTTCCTTCCTCCAGCGCTGAGATGTTCTCCTTTGAAGTTCCTTTGCTGAACGTCCAATGGATGTCCATAGATGGACTGACACATCCTTTCCTTCCTAATGTCGATCTCTGTGTGAAATCATGCACTGGTCAAATGATAATACCACACTGTCTATGTAATGATCGAAGTTACTGGATTTCGACCTCATATGAGACATTTGAATTTAATAAATAGAACTATAGCGATCCCATGATCAGATGCTCATAACGTCATTCCAAAACCATCATTGAATAAAATTGAAATAATTAAGTGTTCGATGGAGGGAATTTCTGCTCGGATAAAGCTGAGAATGCATGAGAAGATATCGATCCATGGCGATGACGTCCTATGTACATCCAAGGACGACTGCTTCTAGACTTATCCCTATTTCTGGGCAACTGGATTGTCAATGGACGAGTTTTGGATCACCCATGGTTACTTTAGTTTGTATAAGGGTAGCCCAAATGAAAGTGGGACTGCTGTCGGTTTGACAAATGGTTTAATGGTATCGGTGTGGTAGGTTTACAGGATAAAGAGTGATACATAAGGAAAATAATGGCTATACATAGTTGCCTTGAAGGTTGATACAGGCGTCCCAGCGGTCCACGAGATGATGAATACCCTGGGTGAAGAACCTCCGGGATTGGCTGTGGAACCATTCTTCAACGGCGACCCGGACCTCATTATTGTCTGCGAATTGCCGTCCTTTAAGAGCTTTCTTGAGTGGACCAAAGACATGGTAGTCGCAAGGTGAGAGGTCAGGGCTATACGGGGGATGTTCGAGGACTTCCCATCGAAATCGCTGCAACAAATCTTTGCACGCAGTAGCCACATGAGGGCGGGCATTGTCATGCAACAGAATAACCCCTTTTGACAACATGCCACATCGACGATTCTTGATTGCTGTTTTCAGTTTGTGTAAGGTGGCGCAGTATCTTGTTGCATTAACTGTAGTGCCTGTCTCCAGCCAATCCAATAGCAACGGGCCATCGGCGTCGAAAGAGGCATGTAAGCATAACCTTTCCAGCTCTCATGGACATCCCCCGTATAGCCCTGACCTCTCACCTTACGACTACCATGTCTTTGGTCCACTCAAGAAAGCTCTTAAAGGACGGCAATTCGCAGACAATAATGAGGTCCGGGTCACCGTTGAAGAATGGTTCCACAGCCAATCCGGGAGGTTCTTCACCCAGGGTATTCATCATCTCGTGGACCGCTGGGACGCCTGTATCAACCTTCAAGGCAACTATGTATAGCCATTATGTTCCTTATGTATCACTCTTTATCCTGTAAACCTACCACACCGATACCATTAAACCATTTGTCAAACCGACAGCAGTCCCACTTTCATTTGGGCTACCCTTATATAGTTGTATTCCTAATGACCTGAATCAACTTAACAAAGAAAGTGTGACCTGATTGGCATATATTATTGTCTTATGGTTTTTTTTAGCTGTAAATATGTTCTGATGACCATCTGCAAGTAACGCTATTGTTTTGTGTTCAGTGAAAGATGGTGATACAGTGAAGCACTACAGGATCAGGCAACTGGATGGAGGAAAATTATTTATTGGCAAAAGGATTACTTTCAGAACTCTCAAAGAATTGGTAGATCATTACTCCAATGATGCTGATGGCCTATGTGTAAATTTGAGGAAGACTTGTGTTGAGGTAAGATATTCAGTCATCAGAAGTTTTGCAGCAGAATTTGTACAGTAAATCCTCTCCTTGTACTGTTCAATTCTGATTTTTCTTTCTTGCGCTTGAATTAGGTTGAGAAGCCAGCTACTGGGGGGCTTTCTCACGATACCAAAGATCAATGGGAGATTGACAAATCATCGCTTAGGTTTTTTCGACAATTGGGGCATGGACAGTTTGGAGTAGTGTGGGAAGGGCTGTGGAATAATACTACTCCAGTTGCAATAAAAACCCTCAAAGAAAGTGAGCGTTGTCACTTCTGTTGTACATCGTACACATTCAATGAAGTAGGATTCTAAATTAGATAATGTCTGATTATGCTCTAAACTCTTTTTCAGAAGCCATAGATCCCAAGGATTTCTTGGCTGAAGCACAAATCATGAAAAATGTGAGGCATCCTAAGCTAATCCAACTATATGCTGTGTGCACACTAGAAGAACCTATTTATATAATAACTGAGCTCATGAAGAATGGATCTCTCCTTGAGTTTCTTCAAGGTATAAATAATTCTGTCATACTGGGATTAGAATAGTCAAATAACAATAAAAATTGGCAAATTGATAGTCTTACTCTTTTTTCTAACAGGGAAGGGGAGAGCGCTGAAGCTCCCTCATCTCATTGACGTTGCAACTCAAATAGCTTCTGGCATGGCGTACCTAGAGTCACAGAATTATATTCATCGTGATCTTGCTGCGAGAAATGTGTTGGTTGGAGAGAATAACAATGTGAAGATTGCAGATTTTGGACTTGCCAGGCTCATCAAGGTAAATTCCTTCGTTTGCATTTGCATGCCTTGAGAATAAGGGGTTTGTACTAGGCTTCAGCATATATCGTGCAGTTGGATTACAATAGAAACAATGATTTAGAAACAATGAAACTCCATTATCACACATTGGGGCAATCGTGTTTTTACTACTTCCAACAGCTCATCTGTCCTGTTCCTCATGGTAGTAGGAATAGTTTCAATATGAGTTCTGAGTTCTGACCTGGTTCTGAGTCACAGAGGTGGTAATCCCTCGTATCGATGTTTTGGGTTACTTTGACATATGGGACTAAGTAATTTCTCCCACATGAGTTCTTACTGCATCATGATGGCTTACAATGGAGTTGATGCTTGGATCTAAGGTATGAGAAATGGTAATTTATTTCAAATTTTCCTCAGGCATTTGGATGTATGAGGTAGATTGATCTCCCTCTTCTGCTGTGTAGCAGTATTTTTGCCACTAATAGTGGTAATACTAGCTTCAAATTTTGGAGCATGATTGCGTAGTACATTTTTCCCATTCATTTCTACATTGTGCTTTTTTATCTAAAAAAGTCTCATTAGAGGTTCAGCTTCATCCCATTTGTGGTGGATATGATGTAGAAAGCCACATTTAAAATAAGTTTAGAACTATCTATTGAATATTTCCATTTTGTACTTCATAGGAAAATGAGTGTGAGGGCAGAGTGGGAGCTCGTTTTCCCTTAAAGTGGACTGCCCCAGAAGCTGCCACGTATTCCAAGTTCTCAATCAAGTCTGATGTGTGGTCATTTGGAATTCTTCTTACAGAATTGATTACTTATGGAAGAATTCCATATCCTGGTCAGTTATTGACTTAGTGCTTCTGAAGTGATTCAAGAATAAATAATCAGCTAGACTGTTAGTGAGAAATGGACATATTTAATTGCTTTCTGGTGGGAACTCATTTTCGGGGATTTATAAAATAGAGAAATATTCTCGAAATGATGTAGAATTTATTTCATTACCCAAACCTCCTGCAAGGCCATTCATGTAAGAGGCATTGAAAAAAGGTGAATATTTTATTTCTGCTGTTACTTTCATGGTGTGCCTGAAGATATTCACTGAAACGTATAGTCGATATCCTGAATCCTTGTGCACGCGGTAGACTCTCAGAGTGAAAGGGTAATGAGGTTCATAAGATGAATGTCACTGCCGATGATGACAAAGAGAGCAATAATGTTGAGGAAGGGGAATTTTTGTTTGACAAATGCCCGAGCTTTATGGCCTGTCCTCACATCCCTCTTTCCTTGAAATTTCATTTTTAGAGTCTTCTATCAACTCAGTTGACAAGTGCTAATTCCTTTTATGGCGGTCCTCCGGCTAGCAGGCAATGCCGTTGGACAAGGATTCAGGATACAGACTATAACAGCCATGTTCCCTCCATAAACCGGCAGTGTGTAAACTTTGCAAACCTGCAGAGTAGTAATGATTAATGAGAATGAATGATGCAGTTACGACAGCTGCTTGGTTGATTTGTAATATTCACTCTTCCGCCTCAGGAGTGATTTACACTTCTTTTGATTTGTCTCCTTGTTTCTATTTTCTGTCCTTTCGGTAGTTTACCGATTTTTCACTCTTATCTTGCCCTCTAACATCTCTTCTCCCTCTAACACATATCCTCATGAAGGAGGTTTTCTTGATATGCCTTCACCTCAGATCAGCAAAATCACTTATACTCTTACTGGCAGGGAGCAGTAGTGCATCATGAGCATACAGGGTGTTCCAAAAGTAACTGCACTGAATTGAAATAGCTGTTTCACATTTTCAGCAATTACTATGAAATTGGTGTTGAACTGACTATGAATTTCAGTTTAAAATGGTCTTTTATTGAGTCTGATCTGTTTAGTGGAGGTTTTGTTGCATTTATTCACTAGGAATAAGTGCTTTTTCCTCATGACTTATATTTCTGGATGAAACTGGCAATGTCTCTATTGCACAGTTACTTTTGATACACCCTGTATGAAGTCACTCGCATTATTGATTTCTTATTGAAGTCTCATGTTCAGGAAGGTCTTTGGATCCCAGAATCTGGTCATTCAAGTTACATTTTTTAATATATGAGACAATGTCAATGTAACACATAATGACTCCCATCTGACTGTATTGGGTATCTACAGGGTAGAGTGATGCTTCTACTCTGGTCATTCCAATGCTTTAGCAATGAGTATGGTTCAAGCATCATTGGGTGTAATGTGACAACCTCCATTCCATCCTGGTTGATAGTTAGCTCTATGTTATGCGAATATGTTACTAAAGATGCCAAAAAATTAGGAGCAAACTCTGTGAATTGAAATAGCTGTTTCACATTTTCAGCAATTACTATGAAATTGGTGTTGAACTGACTATGAATTTCAGTTTAAAATGGTCTTTTATTGAGTCTGATCTGTTTAGTGGAGGTTTTGTTGCATTTAATCACTAGGAATAAGTGCTTTTTCCTCATGACTTATATTTCTGGATGAAACTGGCAATGTCTCTATTGCACAGTTACTTTCGATACACCCTGTATGAAGTCACTCGCATTATTGATTTCTTATTGAAGTCTCATGTTCAGGAAGGTCATTGGATCCCAGAATCTGGTCATTCCAGTTACATTTTTTAATATATGAGACAATGTCAATGTAACACATAATGACTCCCATCTGACTGTATTGGGTATCTACAGGGTAGAGTGATGCTTCTACTCTGGTCATTCCAATGCTTCAGCAATGAGTATGGTTCAAGCATCATTGGGTGTAATGTGACAACCTCCATTCCATCCTGGTTGATAGTTAGCTCTATGTTATGCGAATATGTTACTAAAGATGCCAAAAAATTAGGAGCAAACTCTGGACGTCTTGAACTCCCTTGCTTGATCCCGTGGGCATTATCTAGAAGTGTTATTCTTACCCTTAAAACTTGGTTATCGCTGCTTCAGAATTACTCCATGAACATTTCTTAATGTGATAGGAGAAAAGTTTGTATATGGTCTTTGGCAGGTCTGCTTTAACTAATTTTTCCAAGAGTCTGTGAACTTTAATTCCTTCCTCACAGCTTCCTACTAACAGGGTGACAAAGAACTAAACATGTTAAATGACTTTATCTTATTGCTTCCTATCAGGAATGACCAATGCTGAAGTTTTACATCAAGTGGAACATGGATACAGAATGCCTGCTCCATCTGGATGCCCTCCTACACTGTATGAAATCATGCTTGAATGCTGGCACAAGGATCCTCTCTGCAGGCCTACTTTTGAAACGCTGCAATGGAAACTGGAAGAGTTCTTCAATCTTGAAGGATCTGAATATAAAGAAGCATCGCAAGAATATTGAGCTCATTGTTCTTCCTGAAAGTGATGACTTTTGATTCCTTCATTTTGTTCCACAATATTCGGTGTCTATGTACAGACACAGGATTTCAATGCATTTGAAGGAACTGATGCCAAGTCACAGATCAGAACTGGCCTCCTAGGAGGGCTTTTTGTGAAGGGAGAGTTTTGTTCTGGAATGTGATAGATGCTTTAAGCCAGGGCTTCCCAACCCAGAGGTCGCGACCCCATTTGGGGTCACCAAGGTCATGTTTGGGTTCGCGAACCGGCAACTAAATTCCATGCAATGTTTTTTCTTTGCGTTTTTAGCGCATAAGTGAAGGAGCTTGTCGAACTTTTGGCAGTGCTTGGGGTCCCGAACGGTACGATCGTGATTTTTGGGGTCGCGCATGAAAAGTTTTGGGAAGCCCTGCTTTAAGCACATGCAGTTCATGTTTCATTCAAGTGGAGCCTTATCCATAAAAGGGTTCCACGTTCAGTATCTGCTTGTCATTTGTGAGATAAGTTCTAAAAATTATCTTTTGTGAGTAAAGCCATTTTTAATATGCCTGTTTCAATGGCCTATGCCTGAAAAAGTTGATCCCTGCAGTACAATAGTCAATGTAACTGCATTAGTAAGGCCATCATGTTGCATCAGTTGATGCATCCTTATCATGGGTCCATGAGATATGGAATGGTTTTGCTGCCGTCATCCAGCTGAGAACTAGACACATGCTTTACTTGTAATTATTAACCGTTCCAGGTCACTTCTTTGAAGGATACTTCTTCAATACCACTTCGACTGGATGCTTTGAACCGGCAACTAAATTCCATGCAATGTTTTTTCTTTGCGTTTTTAGCGCATAAGTGAAGGAGCTTGTCGAACTTTTGGCAGTGCTTGGGGTCCCGAACGGTACGATCGTGATTTTTGGGGTCGCGCGTGAAAAGTTTTGGGAAGCCCTGCTTTAAGCACATGCAGTTCATGTTTCATTCAAGTGGAGCCTTATCCATAAAAGGGTTCCACGTTCAGTATCTGCTTGTCATTTGTGAGATTAGTTCTAAAAATTATCTTTTGTGAGTAAAGCCATTTTAAATATGCCTGTTTCAATGGCCTATGCCTGAAAAAGTTGATCCCTGCAGTACAATAGTCAATGTAACTGCATTAGTAAGGCCATCATGTTGCATCAGTTGGTGCATCCTTATCATGGGTCCATAAGATATGGAATGGTTTTGCTGCCGTCATCCAGCTGAGAACTAGACACATGCTTTACTTGTAATTATTAACCGTTCCAGGTCACTTCTTTGAAGGATACTTCTTCAATACCACTTCGACTGGATGCTTATTTGAAAGGCTTTTGTCGAAACATCCAGTTAAAGCAGTTTTCTGTTGAAAAAGAGTCTTTCGAAGATGTGTCCAGTCGAAGAAATGTTCAGTCGAAGGAGTGTCCAGTCAAAGAAGTGTCTCATGATGAAGTGACATGGAACACTATTAACAGCTTCAAGGAAGAAAGCTTGGGATGCATGAAAGAGGTTCTTGTGTGATTCTAGAAGCGCAACAGGTTTGATGGAAATCAAGCTTGCTTTCTTAAGCATATACTCATTAGAAACTCCTTGCCTGCAACAAGAAAAATGTGCTGACAAAAGAAATATGAATCTTTCCTTTTCATTATATTGATTTTTCCTATATTATACTTTCTTTGTTTGCACATCATAACTACTTCATTTCCCTCCCATATTTTTGATCCTCTACAAATACCAATAGTTGTGTTGCTATATCTGTTGGACATATATGACAGTGTTCTGGAATATCTACTTCATTTGCAGTTTTGTCCCACCGTCCTTATCGTCTGAAGCCTCAAGTCGAGAATCTTGTAGTGTTCTATGTTTTTTTTCCTCCTGTGCTCCTAATTCCATTATTTATCATTGATTATATCCCACTTGATCTCTGAAGCTTCCATCAAAGCCTAGTGAGAGTCAGGGTTATAGAGAAAAGCAAACAAATTTTGTAGGTACATGAAGTCAAATGGCTAGAGCTATGATGAGTGGCTCTCCAACCATTCAAATCGTTCCTGGATCAGGATGCAAAAAGTAACGTCAAGTGAGCAAAATTCATAATCAGATTCCTCATGGTATAGAAACGAATATATAGGGTGACCCAAAAGTCAAACACTATGAGGGGGATTTGAATATTGACTATTCTTTCCAGACGAATCTTGGCTACAAATATATCACAACATGAGAGGGTGGAGTTGTTTTCTATCTGAACATCTAATTCTCACCCAATTTAAGCTACGTCAACATAACTAGACATGGCATGCTGTCACAGCAATCGCAGGCCAAAGCACATCACAATTTCAAGCTAATCAATAAGTTACCAACACGCTAGAGAGGAGGAGCAATGTGGCCTATCCCATAGAATCTATGCTACTTTAGGCCTAGCCCAAATAGCTTTCGAGGACATTTCGTACATTGGCCGAGTTCAGGGCAACATGACCCAGCAGACCCTGCACACAACACCACTGAATGATCTCACCTACCAGCCAGCATTGAAGCTTCCAAGTTGCAAGAGGTCCTCGTAAAGCGCTCCTCGTCCTTGCAAAAACCTAGCAAAGCATGCTTCAGCGTTGATGGTTCGAAACGAGCTTTCCGCCATCGTGCAGGGACGGTCTGCTTATCATCTGCAAGTTTCAAATAGAAATCGAGCTGTTTTAGTGCTTCGCGCTAGATAGCAGAATAGTCGTCGTTGGATTCGAAACCAAGCAGCATAGGCCGTTTTAACGTTCCTTTACAGATTACAGTTGTTTATGATGATGACGACTTTTACAAGCACGTCAGAACGTCATTTTCTCTGTGAAAATGTAGATTTTATTTACCGGCGTCTGGATTTAGTGTCGATTTCTCGTTGTTCGTTCAATATGTGAGCTTGACATTCCACTTCGTCATGTGTTAAGACTCATGGCGTCGGAAGCAACAAGGACTCTTTTTGCGCTCTTGCTTTTTGCCCAAAATGGGAGAGAATTTGGCGGATTAAAATCGCATGAACTCAGAGTGGTGGTCTCGATCAAGTCATCTCGAATCATTCATTCGATCCCTAAGTTGTTCAAGGTTCAAGGTTAGGATAAGGACCCAGAGAGGCAGGTCTTCGCCTATCATGATGTCCCGTGTCCTTTTTCATAATAATGATACCGTTTTCGTGTCATGAGATAAGCCTATCCCTTTTAACCTCTTCGTTGCATAATTAATGTTCTGTCATTGAAGAAAACTCCAGAACTTTTATTTTTCAGTACATACCGAGCATCTGAGCAGACGAAATTTAATGTTCAACTTATGAAGGGACTTAAATGAAATGGCGCAGTAAGAGGACTAAAAGATATGCGATGAAGTCTCTCGACGGTATGCGGCACTTAGTGACTATAGTCGAAAGTGGCGGCGAAAATATTAAAGTTAGACTTTTGTTATTTTTATACTTTTATTCATAATTTTTTTGAGGGGGGGTGAGCATAGATGACATAATGACCCACTATCCTGAAAGCTACGATGCCTCATTTTTGTTTTACCCATGAATGCATTTGTTTTCTTCCTCTTAAAGCCAGTCACTGGGTGGGGCAACCACAACCACGTCACTTAATGCATTCCACGAGTTCATCAACTCACAAGTAAAGCAGTGCCGGTCCCTACCTGCATCTCACCTGAGGTTCTAGAAAATGTAAGTGGGTTCTTTCTCGTTCTTCTGCTAACATCAAACTGAAAATACCTACCACTCTTAAGGTAAACGATTCTCTTAATGATCTAAATTTCCTGAGTGAGGAATGAGTACAAGCCTAACGCTTCGAAATGCTTCTCATACTGAAGTCCCCTAGTCTCCTTCATCATTGGACCATCTTGTCGTGTATTTATTTATTTTTCTGTGGGTATTGAATCGCGGACGTTGGCCGTCAAAGCTCTTTTAAAAAAAAAGACATTCTGTTTAGAATTCTTTAAATCGGACTTTCGTCCACGACTTTCACCGCATTCATGCCACAGATTTGATGGACGCCATGCCTCAGTGCACGACTCACGAAGAAGACGAGAGCGTGCTCGAGTGAAGACTGGAAGAGCCAAACAGAGGGGGAGGAAACGACAAAACGGCCGGAAGGGGGGATGTTCGTCGTATCACTCGAGAGCAACACTCGAGAGCAACGACTCCCAAAGAGTTTTCAACACGGGGGGGGGGGAGACAGGGTCATTCATGTCCATTCTATTTCCTCCCCAGTGGACTATTTTGTCCATACAATCCTTTTGTTTTGGAGGAGAGAGGGGAGGAAGGGAATCCTTTGGTTACGTCTAGGATAATTTTTCATATCCTTCAATTTCACTGCCCGTGCACGCTTTTCCAAAGACAGGTGATGGTGTGCATGCTCCATCGACCAATCAGGCTTCTCCAGAAGTACTCAATTGTTACATGTGAAACGTGGATGCGAAGTGAGAGGATGAAAATTTTCATAAGCGATTACGAAGTTACACCGCGATTTTTCGCTTGGAAAGTGCAAAGGTTTTGGCTTTACATTCTTAGTTTTTATGTAAATATTACAGCCCAAGTCCATGTGCATTGTCGGTAGCAGGAACTTATCTACTTCTCTTTTACCTACTCATTTTCAGTATGCTCTGAAGAGATTCGGGTGAACAGCCTTATGCTGTGTTACAAATACAAAGGACCCAAGGACTTTAATCGTCAAAGATCATCGGAGGCCTTTAATGTAAAAGGACTGTGATCACGTTGGAGTGTCTGGTTGGCGAGAAAAAGGAGAAACCCCACTCCACAGATAGGTCCGGTCCCAGGGCACGAACATTCATTTCCTGGCACTTATTAATAAAAGTTCTAAGTTCTCAGTCTAGTTGAAAATATGACTCTCTCTAGTCTTTGGTTAACTGACAGAAGTAGAGATAGAAGTGGCACAGGATTCGCTACTTTAAGAGTAGTAGTAACGTGCGCTTGTTGACAGTGATCAATTGTCAATGGTCAAGCCTGACACCTAGGGGAATATGATTGTACCAAGGCTTCCAAGGAACGGCTCACAGGGAGCTGCTGCTACTTACTTATAATAGCAGGTAACACTCTAATTAAATTGACACCCGTTGAAGTGAATGGATTAAAAAAGAGAGAAGATTGGTGATATATTTGTTCGGAGTTGTTTGAGAAAGAAGATGAAATGGCTTCGCCGCTGAACGTCGCAGATCAGGATCAGGATCAAGAAGGGAACTAAGAACTTAATTTTATTAGACCGCTGAAATGCTGAAGACTCAGTGGATCACGTACGAGATATTGCCCCCGAAAGAAGGAACCGACCGTCGGTGCGCTTTACAAGGAAGGACTACAGAAGGCCAGAGTACCGATTTTCCATCGCATCGATAAGTTATTGAGGAGGACTGATGTCGATTACGTCTATAATAATCCATGTTTACCACATATGCCTCCTCGTATTCGACCCGCAAT